TATATATATTTATATATATATATATATATATATATATATATATATTATGAAAGGGACAAAGTCCGACAATTATTTTAAGACATTTTTTATGTCCATTTCATAATGTGTGACGGCATTTGTTTACATTTGATACGCCATGAGCAGATATGAATGTACGTGAGAGATTCATGGAAGATTGAAATTTAAATACAGTAAATTCGACCTTTCTAACCGAACGCTCCTTCGTGGCCAAATCGGTAAAGGCATGTCAAGCTAAGTGATTGCTCCGTATAGGATACAGGATCGAATCCTGTCGGAAAATGTGTGAAAATTTCTTGGACATTCAGGCCGATAAATACTGTTTATGATAAACAGAGCATTTACTTAAATATTTGTATCTACGAAAAGAATGTTACACATTAAAAAAAAAATGTCTTAAACGTATATATTATATTATATCAGTGGCGAAGTACAATTTGGTGTCCATTATGCAGGATAATCGCCAAGGTGGAGAGGAAAAAGCACCCCACTCACAAAAAAGTTGTTTTTCACTGTTTTTTCAGAAAAAAAAGTAAGCAATTTTGGTTTAATATTTTTCACAATTCATCAAATTAACAGTTTCTATTTTAACGAGATGTTGTGATTTTTATTTTAATTTAAAAAAAAAAAAGTTTAAATAAGTTGCTTATTGCTTGCCGACAGGTGTCATAAAATGACGTTGATTGATGACTGGAAAAAAGAAAATTCGTAATTCTGACGTAAACTAAATTAATATTGTTTTAATTTAAATTGTTTTAATTAGCCAAATCAACCTTTCTTCTTTAAAATAACACCAACATGAAATAACACCAACATACATGAAATGGTCTTAAATATTTTTTATTTAATTTTAAAATTAGGTATTGCAGTGAATTATTTAAAATGCCCTTAAACAAAATTTACCATGTTTAGTGAGATAATATACACATATGAACAGAGCTGTTAAATTCTTTTTCCTCAAAAAATTAACATATAAAATATACTTCTCAGATTTCCAGACTCAATAAAGGGCAAGAGAGAGTAATGATGGTATTAGCCGTTTCCTTATAAGGAAATATTCAGCATTTCTTGACAAAGCCGTCAGTGCTGTTGCCAGTTGAAATCTTTCCTTTAAAACAAATTTTCAGGAAAATAGGTTTCTCAAGCCGAGTCGTTGTTTCCAGTATTTATACTTGAAATCGTCTGAAATGTCATTTCATTACGTCATTATATTCCATTGGACTATCCATATTTAGTTGTTGTCGCTGTTCAAAGTCTTCAAGTGATGTGGTTTCTGCTACTTGATACAGTTCTTTGTTTGTGATTCTGTAGCGTCAGTCCACAATGTTCAAAGATGGATAGTCTTTAAAGAAGGGATAGTCTTTAAAGAAGGGATAGTCTTTAAAGAGGGATAGTCTTTAAAGAAGGGATAGTCTTTTAAGAAGGAATAGTCTTTAAAGAAGGATAGTCTTTAAAGAAGGGATAGTCTTTAAAGAAGGATAGTCTTTAAAGAAGGAATAGTCTTTAAAGAGGGATAGTCTTTAAAGAAGGATAGTCTTTAAAGAAGGGATAGTCTTTAAAGAAGGATAGTCTTTAAAGAGGGATAGTCTTTAAAGAAGGAATAGTCTTTAAAGAAGGATAGTCTTTAAAGAAGGGATAGTCTTTAAAGAAGGATAGTCTTTGCCAAGACACAGAGAGCTTCACTCACTCAAAGCTCTTTTAATCATTGATCTTAGAAAGGCGGTTGTTTACAGCTGACAGTTTAGATATTTTTAACGTGTTTGGCGCCATGCATGACATACATATATGTTATAAATTATTATAAAGTTTATATCTTCGATCAAAAATCTATTTATATCTTCATACAGATAAATGTTCCTGCCTTTTTCCTCAGTATTCTCTTGTAAGATTGCCAGCTTTTTCAAGTTGCATAAATTTTACCTCTCATCTTTAGTGTGGTATGCATGTCAGAAAGTTACACTGATCTTTGCATGTCTTTCACCCACAATTATTATTGGAAGTCTTTACTTTACGGTCAAGTTCTTATAATTCATACAAATATAAAACCAGAAACACCTAATCGTTACTTGAAAGTGTAATTCAGAAAGATGCTCGACTTGCCACTTGCAAGGTAAGGTAATAAAGTATTAAGGTAAAACATCTTGTGTGCTATTCAAACAACAGAGGGTTAATTACATATATTGAATATTATACAGGGTTTATCAAAAAGAATGAACCGATTTCATTACGCAATATTTTAATAAGGAAGAGCAATAGAAAACTCCAGCCAAGTCACAAGTATTCTACTCACAAACAACTTTTATTTCCTGTCTTACAAGTGTTCAAAGAGGCAACACGGGCAACATCAATGCGATAAGAGAATTCCTACTAGACGCGTATCAGCATATGACAATCCAATGAGTTGATCGCTGTTGTTATTCGATGTTTAAGGTCATCGAGGTTAGTAGATAGCAGTGGAACATAAACGCGATCTTTTAGATATACCCATAAAAAAAATCACACATAGTGAGGTCTGGGGAACTCGCAGGCCAAGAACAAAGAGCAAGGTTTTGGTAAATACCTGAACGAGGCATAGTCTGTAAGGTTTCAAATGTAGACGTCTTCTTAGCACACGCGAAATAGTGGATTGAGAGATCGCCAGCTCACAAGTAACTCGATTTGTGGACTTTTGTGGACTCACCTCAAACGCAACACGGATTCTCACCACTCATCCTGGACTTTTTTCTTTTACAGGGACATTTATTCTTTTGAAACTGTTTAAACCACCGTCGAATGTTCTTAGGAGAAGGCGGATTAATGTCGAATTGCCTTCGAAAAGTAAGGTGCACCGTGACAAACGTATTTGTTTTCGCGAACTCGAGAACGCAGAACGCCTTTTGCTGAGGACTTGCCATTCCGGGGGTAAACAAACAACTGAACGTTACCGGAGATACGACGCAACTACAGCGCCCCTGTGGCGGCCATTCAAAACTTAGAAAACTCCTCTTTCAAATGGTCACTGACTTATTCCAGGACGATGCTTGAGAACTGAAGCAATGCGTCATGAAATCAGTTCATTCTTTTTGAATAACCTTGTACAGTGAAAATTTCAGATCCAAATTCGCCTCGCAACTAGTCCAGGCTTATTGGTCCACCCTTGTGTCTATATAAATGCATATAGGTATATAGGTGCATATATGTATGAAATTAAAATGACTGATATGAAATATCCGAATAAAATATGTAAGAGTGAAAGCCAGTTGGATGTTTACATTATTCACATTTTATTTGAACGTGTTTCCTGCGTACAACTCTAATTGATTTGTTCAATGATAATTATTTTAAGTTTTATTAACCGTTCAAAAAATTTTCAAATTAACCACAGCGTTTCTAATTAACCAATTTGCCATAGGAACGATGTTTCCTTATATTTATTCAGTTGTTTTGAGAAACCTCGTGAAGAGCGAAACGTTGACAACTAAATAAAAAAATTGAAACATATTTTTTTAATCATTTCTCCCCAATCGAGGCAATAGAGTCACTAAGACGCGGGAGGCTAATGAGTGTGAAATAATATAAGAAAAAGAAAATCATTATTTAGGAGAGAAAACAATAAAATAACAGGAATTAAGAAGACAGAAGATAACGATTGACATTGCATTTTGAAGATCAAAGTTGGATGGAAAGCAAGACGCCAGAAGAGAGTTCGATAAGCGAGTAGTGCGAGAAAAACTGTTACCAAATAACTTACATTTACTTGTAGCTATTTCAAGTTTTAAAATGATGAGACCTTGTTGCCAATCTAGTACTGCGTTTAAATTCATAGAGTCTTGTTACCATGGATAAAAGTTCATCAAGTATTTATAGAAAAGGCACAGTGAAGATTATGGCGGCGGGAATATACTGAAGCCGAGATGTCAGGACAGGACCAATGACATTGTAGATTCTTCTTTGGATTTTATCAAGGATCTCTAAATACATAATAGGAGCTGCAGATCATGTGTGACAGCAATATTCAATGCATGGATGAATGGTAGACTTATAAATGTGTAAGATGTCTAGTGCGACAAAGTAAACCAACTTTCCTAGCAGCTGACCTAGGAATTGATTCAATATAATCTTTCCATTTCATTTCAGCGGAAAACATTAACCCGACAAGGTACAACTAGTCGATTTCCTGGAGGTTAGCATCAGCCACACTGATAGAAGGTAAAAATGGCTCAAACTGGTTTCCATAAATTCCCTCTTACGCATGTATGTGCGTACAAATATGGAAACATGAGCAAACACACATGAGCATACACACACATATATAGTGCATACTGTCTATTTCTCTACCCCTCTCTATTTATACAGATGTAAGCGTGTGCTTTTCTGCACATTTGTGTACATATATTCATATTGTGTAGATATATTTATATCTCTATATATGTCTAAAGGTGTATCTGTATGCAATCATTTCTATTCTTTATATTTTTCTGTAAGATATATGATACGATATGTATTTTAAAGCACATAACTTATTATGAATATTAAGAGTTAAGTTTTTGTGTACGGATGGGCTGGAAATTAGAATGTTTCATGCCTTTTACTCGTTTATTGCCACAAAACAATTTGATATATCTATATGCAAATGTATATAAGTGTGGATATATTGGTTGGGTGTTTGCAGTTTCTTTCAAACGATACAGATTTGTGACTGCTATTTCAATCTAACATAAAAAAACACACACACACACTCTCCAAAGTTTTATTAAAAATAGATGATTGTAAACAGGAAGAAAGAGGTTGCCGCAAGGCTGAGAGAAGCAAAGTTCTGTGAATTTGACGGAATACAAAAATAGCGACACCTAGAAATCATTTTTAGTTTCTTGTATATATTGTTTTTCTACTTGAATAAGCTGCAACAGTGTAAGACAAAAAACGATCAGCGAACACGATAATATAATGGAGGCAAACGAAAAAAAAAAAAAAATGAAATTGGCTTGGGTCACATCTTAACATTAAAAATTTGCGTGCGCGTGGGCCGCTCTCAGTCTGAATGTCACACACAGAATGCAGACAGAGAGAGAGAGAGAGAGAGAGAGAGAGAGAGAGAGAGAGAGAATTTTGGTGAAAGAAAGAAGAGAAAATGAAGAAGTGAGAAAGAGAAAAAGGCGGAGAGTGTGAGAGATCTCAGCATTATATTGCCCTTTCTTTCCTAAAAGAACGTTAAGAGAGAGAGAGAGAGAGAGAGAGAGAGAGAGAGAGAGAAGAGAAAGAGAGAGAGAGAGAGAGAGAGAGAGAGAGAGAGAGAGAGAGGACAAAAATGTTGGTGAAAAAATCAAGAAAGGATCAAACTGAAAAGAGAGACGGTTTGAGTGAAAGAAAAACAAGAAGAAATGAGTGGGTAAATGATGAAATAAAAGAGAAAAAGATAGAGAGGGAGGAGGGATAAAGAGAGAGAAAGAGGAGAGAGAAATAGAGTGAGAAAGAAAGAGACAGAGAGAGAACGTAAAAGATGACAGGACAATAATGTTGGTGAAAAAAGAATCATGAAAGACAACGTGAAAAAATATATTGAGAGCATTAAACAGAGACAGGAAGGAAAGAGTGAGTAAATGATGAAATAGGAGAGAAATACAGAGAGGATGAAGAGAGAGAAAAGGAGGGGGAGGAGAAAGAGTGAGAGAAAGAGAGAGAAACGATACGAGAGATAGAGGTAAAAAGAGAGCGCGAGAAAGACAAAGCAAAACTGTTGGTGGGAAAAGAAAAAGAAGAGGGAATCAAGGAGAGAGCCACAATGAATGACGGTGATAGTGAAAGGGAGACAGGAAGGAAAGGGCGAATAAATGATGAAATAAGAGAGAGAGAGAGTGAGAGAGAAAAAGAGAAAGTTTGAGAGAGAGAGAGAGAGAGAGACAATCACAAGAAGGTTGATGAAAAAGGAATCAATATCTAAGTAAAGAGAGAGACGGAGAGCATGACAGTGAGACGGGAATGAAAAAAAAATGAGAAAATGATAAAATGAGAGAGAAAAAGAGAGATAGAGAGATAGATAGGACAGGGCGATAATGTCGATTAAAAAAGAATCAAGAGTGCTCTCGAGAAAAATCGAGAAACATAACAGAAAGAGGGAGGAAGGAAAGAATGGGCAAATTATGAAATGAGCGAGAGAAAACGCAAGGAAGAAAGATAGATAGATAGATAGATAGATAGATAGATAGAGAGAGAGAGAGAGAGAGAGAGAGAGAGAGAGGGAGGAAAAGAAAGAGAGGGAAATCGTGTTTTAATCTAATGTTTAAAATCCTATACAAAGGCCAAAAATTTATATAGCTGGACTTGTAAATTATAAATAGTGAGTTTGAGCTTCACTTAGTTCCTATTATTGTATCTTTGTGTCAAAAGTAAGTTTCGTTGATTAAATAACAGGAGTCAAAAATAATTGACTCACAACAAATCGCAAAATAAGGTTAATAGGAAATTAAACTTTTTATAAATAACTACCCTAGGATTATAGTTTCACATGTCTCTTTAAATAATTTACTGTTTGTAGCTGGTATCGTCACAACTTTTTTCTTTTTACAATAATATTTATCCTGTTCAAGGCTCAAGAGCCACTTGAAGCAGATGATTACAGAGTAAGAGGAAAGGTTTATGGGGATATGTGAGGAAGATAACGGTTAACCCTAGTCTTGAACAGGTTAAGATTGTAGCGATCGGGAGAGCATTCTCTTGGGAGTCGGATCCATAAAGCAGTTGTTCGTGAGAAGGAGTTGCTTCAGTGGAACTTACATCTCACCAATGAAATACGAAAGGAATGAGGGTGGTTCGCCTGGCATGGCTGGTCTTCGCCGTGATGGTCTGAACTGGAGGAACTAAGGAATGTAGTTCGTTTGAACACTTTCCATGGAAATAGCGATAGAGTAGCAAGAGACTTGCAAAATTTTGTCTGTAGGAAAGGAGTCGTAGGATGTAAAATAATTCATATTATAATTCAAGGACGCGGAGATGCTTTTGAACTCAGTCAAGTCGGAAAGATGAAAACTGGGACGCTCCTGCTCATACTCTTGCTGGCTTCTATCAGCATGGCTGAGGCAAACCTTCAGGAGATTGACTCGTTGTGCCTACTCAGGCTAACGTTCTCTGCTGACATGACGTGGAAAGATTATATTGAATCAATTGTTAGGTCTGATGCTAGGAAAGTTAGTTCACTGTGTCATGCTAGATAATTTTTCTCTCCAAAATCTACGATTCGTGCTCTGAATATTGATTCTACATCTTGTCTGGCGCTCCTGCTATATATTTAGAGATTCTTGATAAAATCCAAAAAAGAATCTGCGATGTTATTGGTCCTGACTTGGCATCCCGGCCTCAGTCACTTTCCCACTGCCGTAAGTTAGCTTCTCTTTACCTTTTCTATAAATACATTCATGGTAATTGTTCTTATGGTACCTAGACTTTATGAATTTAAGCGCAGTACTAGATTGGCAACAAGGTCACATCATTTTACAGTATAATTGGCTAGATGTAACCGTAAATTCTTTTCTCACATTTCTCGCACGTGGAACACTCTTCTGGCTCTTGCTTTCCAGCCAACTTTGATCTTCAAAAATTTAAATGCAATGTCAATCGTCATCTTCTGTCTTCTTGACGCCTCTTCTTTTATTGTTATCCTCTTCTTCTATATGTTTTTCTTTTTCTTTTTCTTTCAGAGTCAGTAGCCCCTGCTGGCTTTGTGGCTTTATTGTCTTGATTGGGGTAAAATCATTTAAAATAAATTTTACTCCATTTTCGGTCTGATTAAATACGTTAATCCAAACAGTGACTTCACTACGTCTTAAATGATTTGCGATAACAAGAAAAAAATATTAAGTCTAATATTATTTTTTACAACAACAACTACTACTACTACTACTACTACAAATATCGACCAAAAGGAGCAGAAAATCGTCATTTTAATAAAACTCGAATTATATAATTATTATTTGAATTTTTCTGTTGAGGAATTATCATTATTATTATTATAATTATCTGATTTGATTGAATTATTTAAATGATTAGAGCGCGTAGTAGAATTAGTGCAATGGCTTACCGATTCATTTTGCCCCGGGGATCTTTAGGTTACTCAGTCAATCCTCTCAGAAGTTTCTCGGTCCATTGGTAAAGCTGTTGAACTTTGAGGCGCAGCCATTGCACTATTTTGTCATGAATGTCACCATGAACCACAATTTCAATTGAAATAGGTTGAGTGCTGACCACAGAGGCGAAACATGCATTAACTGAAGAAGTGAATGTATGAAGTAAAATTAAACCTAAACAGAGCAGGAAAGCGTGGCTTCATTAAAACACTTGAACAAGAAATACGATCTTTATGATGAGAATGATAAAGCGAGCGATACAAAGGACGTATACTCGTGTTTCATAGATTTCGCAAAAGCATTTGATAAGGTTCGACACATAGATGTATTTGAACTGCTAGAAAAACTGGATTTAGTTGGGAAATATATTAGAATCATCCGGACATTTACTTAAAAAAAACAAACAAACAAACAAAAAAAAAAAACAATAAAAAATGCCTGCATACGGATAGAAAATATATTGAGCAACTAAACAAAAATAGAAAGGGGCGTAAGACAAGGATATGTCTTCTTACCAGATTTATTCAATCTTTTACAGGCGAGGCAATCATAAGAGAACTAGAAGTCCTACCGGCATTTATTACTAGTGGACAAATTCTTAACATACGATACACATTTGACACCGTGTTGATAGTAGACAGAAAGAAAACTCTAGGATATCCTAGATAAGGTAGTAAAAGAAAGCGGGAAGAAAGAATTAACTATCAATTGTGAGAAGATAGAATGTATACGAACTCCGAATTGGAGATGACAAAATCAAGCAACTATCGAAATTTAACTGCCTTGAAAGTGTTTTAACAGACGACGGAGAATGTGACACCTAAATCTGAAGGCGCAATGGAATACCAAAAGATGTCTCCCAAAAGCTAAACAAAGAAATATGAAACAGGTAAAATCTTTCTCATAAACAAAGAAATGAATGCTTGATTACTGTGTAATAACAGCCCTTCTAAATGGCAGTGAATACTGGACAAACTTGAGCAACAGAAATGAGGTTCTACAGAAGGATGCTGAGAATACCATTAATTCATCATGTGTGCAGCGAGGAGGTTTTAAGGAAAATCGAAACTCAAAAAACACATACTTAAAATCAAAAAGTGATGGTTGAAATTTCCGGAGCAGAAAATGAGGAAAGAGGGCTAGGTGTATTTAACACTCACAAGGTATATTGAAAGCAAGTGAAACAGAGGGAAACAGCGAGTAACCTACTTAACAAATCTAAATGGATGGCAGAAAAGGAACTGGGAGGGATATCAAGGGGACAAACGATAGGAAGTTGTGGAGAATCATGATCGCCTACATTCTGACATGATACGTAATATAAAAGAAAAACAAGTATCCTATGAAATGTCGGATTCACGAAGTTTCATGATTTACTGTTATCGATAGATGTGAAGTGTATTAAATAATTTGATATTTTGAATCTAGGTATTTTCAAAGAACCAATGGTTTATTATTTCAAACGTTATTTTTAGCGAATTCCCATGTTTGAAATAAACTTTCCGTTTTTTTAAACAGTGTATATCACGTCTACAGGCCTATAAACCCGAGAAGGCTTAATAAAGAAATTGTGCTCTCCGGCAGAGTTCGAACCTGCGTCCCACGGATTAAACGGTAGTTTAGGCGTACTTGGGTTATAACTCCGCGGAAGTGCATATTTTCTTTATTAAGTTTTCTTAATTGCGCAAGCCGCCGGTAGCTTAAAACAGAACAAAAACACAAGTGTTAGATGTGGTGTTCAAACTAAAAAAAATTATTTTTTGATGTTAGTTAATTTTATTCCTCATGTAGTAAATGTAAAATTTCCCCGTTTTTGTGGGGCACCCGGTAGAACAGCAATCAAGAGCATTCAATAAACACTAAATCTCTTTCTATACCATTTCCTGTCATGGCGGCGATAGAGAAAGTGTAAAAATTGTTCAGCTTCATTCTACACGAACTGATGGAAAAAAAGCATAAAACTGCATTGTTTGAAGAATGTTAATCACTGCTAAGTCACGAAAGTAAAAGCTTATTTCTGATAATTTGAATAAAAATGGATCCTTTATGATAAATTTTCTTTAGACATACAACTGTTTCTAATCTTCATCAATGACCTTCTCGATGCCATTAGTTTCCAAGTAGACATTTATGCTGATGACAACTATTTACTACTGTTTTAGTAGCAAAACCGACAGTTCTGACAAAGTAAAACTGCTAACTACTCTCGAAGTCTCTTCAATCAGTGGTTAACTGGGGCAAGGAATTGCTTGTAAATATCAATGCCTTCAAAATGAAACTTATCTTTTAATCCTCATAAGAGTACCATTTATGCCTTCCATCAGCATGGCTGATGCTTACCTCCAGGAGAGCAATTCACTGCGCCTTCTTGGCCTCACGTTTTCCACTGACATGAAATGGAGTGATTATATTGAATCTGCTACTAGGAAAGTTGGTTCACTGTGTCGTGCCAAACAATTTTTCTCGTCAGAATCCATCTTGCAAATTTATAAATCTGTCATTCGTCCGTGCATTGAATACTACTGCCATATACGTGTCTGGTGCTCCTACTATATATCTCGAAATTTTTGACAAAATTCAAAGAAGGGTCGGTAATGTAATAAATCCTGATCTGGCATCTCGACTTCAATCACTTTCTCACCGCCGTTATGAGGTTGTTCCCCCGTCTTTTCTACAAATATTTTCATGGCAATTACTCTGATGAGCTTTCCTTTGTGGTGACTCAACTGCATGAATTTAAGCGCACTACTAGATTGGCAACTAGAACTGACCGTTTTACTATTGAAATAGCAAGATGCAACCGTATGTTCTATTCTAATAGTTACCTTTCGAGCACTTTTCCACTGGGAAATTTAAAAATATTAAATGCAAGCCAATCACCATTTTCGGTCTTCCTGAATCTTGTTCTTTTAGTGCCATTTCTCCTCTCTAAATTCTTTCACTCCCAGTAACCCCTTCACGTTCTAGTGGCATTGTCGATTTGCTTGGGGGTGAAATGATTCAAAAAACAAAATGAAAAACAAAAAAAAAAACCCCCCCAAAAAAAACCCCAAAAAAACAAACAAAACAAAACAAAACAAAACAAAGAACACCCCGAATATTTTGATGAAAAGAATAGATCTGTGTAATTTTGAAAAGCGTTCTTATCATTCCAATTGTTATACAGAGTATTGTATTCATTCATTGTGTCGCTTTTATTTTGACCAGACCGTTTCGATCGACCGACTTTTTAGTATTCTTTAGGTGTACAGCCCACAAGGAAATGTGGATCTCTCATTATATATATATATATATATATATATATATGTGTGTGTGTGTATATGTGTGTGTGTGTGTGTGTGTGTGTGTGTGGGGTACACACACACACATATATATATATATATATATATATATATATACCGAGTTATATATATGTCTTAGAAAAACATTGTCAAACTCTGTGGTGATAACAGTAACCACACACACACACACACACACACACACACACACACACACACACATACATACAATAAAAACAAAAACAAAACAAAAAAGCAACATAAAAAATTAAAAGGATTTTTGCTTAAAATATTGTGTTTGACTTTTCCCTATCAAAAGTTGACATTTCACGTGATACAACTCGACATAAACATCTAATGTAAGTTGTTCTTCCATTACATTGAGAAAGAAAGGGACTTTATTGAACATGAAAATCAATTCAACTCAGAAGTAGATAACATACTCTGCATATAAATGAGAACATAAGACATTGTAAACTTTAATTCTATTCAAGAGAACATGAGGCATGGTGGACTTTAATTTGATTAAGAGAAAATGCGGTATTGTGGACTGTAAGTCTATTATGAGGACGTGAGGCATTGTGTATTTAATTGTATTAAGAGAACATGCGGTATTGTGGTCTTTAATCCTATTATGAGGACATGAGGCATCGTGGTCTTTAATTGTATTAAGAGTACTCGAGGCATTGTGGACTTTAATGCTATGCTGAGATACAAATTAAGTAGACATTCAAATGACGTATATACGCGAGTATAGTGCGAGTTTTTATGATAAGTTTTTTTACGCAAAGATTATGATGCATTTTCGGTGCACTATACGCAGGCAAATTGTTTTGGACGGGTTAACATTCATGCATTTTCAGTGACAGTAAAATGGTACAGGTATAATAAATAAATAATAAAAATAAAACATATGTATAGAGTATTTGATTTGAATTATCATTACCTGAAGTATGTAACTCAACTTATGCGGCACCCTGTATTATGTACCGGAAATCCGAACAAAAAGGTTGCCATTGGAAAGGCAATATCTTAGCGATGGAAACACTTGCAAAATGAAGATGAATGCGAATTTGAGATAGGAAAAAATATAAGATATTTGTTGATTTTAAATGGCATACATGAGATTTTGCTTTTCATGTAGCGAAAAAAGAGAAGAAACTGAGGCTACGTAGGAAGCAGGCAATTGTCACCATTTGGGGGTAGCTTTGTACAAAAAAAAACAAAAAAACAAAAACAAAAACAAAAACAGAATGAAGACCATTTATATAAAATATATCCAGGATGATGCCCAGTACTGCAAGAAGCTGGGGTCGCATTATACACGTGCTACATAGAAAAATCGGGTTTTTCTCAAAAGATTCAGGGATCACACTATACATGATGTTGACTTATACACAAGTATATACGGTAATTGAAACAACAGTGAACAACCTTTATTCTCGGGATGTTATGGCCGATTTGTTTTTACGGTCATATTTGTGCAACAATTGAAGCAGTAATTATTTTGCCAATGTTTAGTGGAAACCTTTTGCCTTTCGCTTTTTAAAAATCCTTTTTTGTTTTCATATCTTCTTATTTTCCTCTTTGTCCCTCAGCTGATAGAAATGGTTCGCTTCTTTTGGCTAGCTTAACATCATATAAACCCTTATTATTTAATGTCGAATACAAATCCTATGGAACAAAATTACAATATATTAATGGAAAGCTAGATACAACCACGGATTGTACTAGTGTTAAAAAATATAAACCCGGATTGCACTAGATTTAAAATGAAAAAGGTAGATACAAGTTCGACTTGCAGTAAAGTAAAAATGTATCCACCGTGAGGTGTCCTTTTTGGTATGAGGGGTCTTACCCTTCTGTAAAGTATGTAGTCGGCGTATTTTAGGCTCCACCTACACGATAATGCCGGAAACGAAAGAAACTAAAACGGACATCTGTGTCTTGAGAGTTGACTTCCCTTTTTGTTAGGCTAACAACGAAGAAAGTAAGAACCGAAATATGAGGCTCTTTGAAGCCATTTTTATGACTTCTGTATTGAAATGGAATATATTATCAAATATTATTCAAAATTATTATTATTATTCAAAACGGACAACTTAGATTTGAAATTTGATCATCATGCCGTTATCGATGCGACGGAGGCCGAACTAACATTAATTTAAAATCTTATCGATTAGATATTTTTTAAGACAGAAAGGATGAAATTAACCCCAAGAAACATTCTTTTAAGTAATCCATGATCGATTAACAGACAATATTTAACAATATTTTATATTGCGATAATCGTTTATTTCCGAACATTATTAATGGAATTGTATCTATTTGTTATTCTGATTGTTTGTACGTTCCTTCTTACGCTTTTCTACCAAGGATATATATAAGAACTAGCTTAAAAGTCGCCTATATATATATATATATATATATATATATACTAGCTTAAAAGCCTATCCTAAATTAACTCCTGCGGAGGGCACTTGATTGAACCTTCGGCTTGTTTAGGAGATTAAGGGTCCCTAATTCTTCGTATATTCTCAGTATTGGAAGCTCTCCTGGTCTGGGCTTTCATTTGCACGGGACTTTCGTTTTCTCGCTGCAGCCATGGCTGTTTTGATTGCAATCTGGTCCTCTGTTGGCGGAGATTTATTTTTTGCGAGGCATACTGCTGCCGTATGCGACAGGCAACAATAAGCTACAGGAGAAATCAAAATTGTTCGCTGCATTTAAGTATAGTATTAATACTTAAGCTTACCTTTTAAAAGTTCAACGATAATTCTTCTTTTGCTACTTAATTTAAGGATAATTTGATGTGCATTTATACATTTTTATATAAAAATGACTTACCAACAATAACTATTTATCTGTAGTTGAAGGCTTACGATTGCATTTCGGCATTAAATAACCCATAGAAGTTGATATGCCGCTGAATAAAATCAACCAATCCAACAAACAACCAACATAAAAGAACTCATTCATGACATTAATCTATATAATATCCTACGATTTGATGAATCAAAGTGTATTCCAAAATATAACTTCAACAAAACTACATGTGACACGCACCCATCACCGTCTCTAATAATTGTGTCCACACAAACATGTATATAAACAAATGCAATCTACCATGTATTCAGTTGTCAAAGTAGAATAACATACTTTTATTACTTCAAGGCTCTCAAGAAAATTAAATTTTAGCATTAAATGACCCATAAGGAGTTGATTTGCCGTTAAACAAATCAATCAAATTCTATAGACTGGTGTTACAAAAGTACAAAAAAGAGCTACAAGGCCACATCAATCGAAGACTTCTTCCTAACAGCAGCAACAACTAAAATGGGTTGCACGTGTAATTAAAAGGGAAAATAATAATATAATCAAGATGTTGACTTTCTACACTACAAAAAAGTTTGGAAGAAGACTCCCATCAACATTATTGGGTTGGAACAAAAGTTCGTATCGAATTTTAGTAGTTGTCGTTTGAAGACGTAATTTCGTGTCACGTATGACTGAAATCTATGACATATATACATATTCTGAAAGGTAATATTCCAACACGTATTTCTGTACGACCCGTGGGCTGATTATGAATTTTAAACGTGAAATGAGATGCATTTTCGTCATTTGATGCTCTTTTATTTGTGGAAAGGACAAAAAAATGCCGTACAAACAGCAAAAAAGATATATGCCATTTATGGAGATGGTGCCATAGCTGCGAGTACTGCTTGTATAAGTGGTACATTAGATTCAAAAGTGGAAATTTTGATATGGAATGCCAAGAGCGTTCCAGTAGGCCACAATCATTGATGATAACCAAACCGAAACATTGATTAAAAATAAATCCGATCACACTACACGGGACATCGCAGGAATTTGAATTTACTTTTTATAACCATTAATTTTTCTAAAATATTTTAACTTAAATTCACTTTATCTTCATGAGTAATAAAGTAAATTTTCTAGACATTTAATTTGTGGACAGCTGTATGTTGTCAAAATCTAGTTATCAATAAAAAGACATGAACTGATTGATACCAATATATGATAGATACAAAGGCGGGATAGAAAGTTCATAGGTTGACTATGAAGGAGTGATGCTAGAGGTGTAAAATCTTGTATGCATTAATTTCAATTCTTCTTATTAATAACTGCATTGATATTTCCAGCTAAACTGACATCTGACCGCTCCTTTCACTCGATTTTATTTTAATTTATATTTAGATTTCTTACTTAGCCGCCATATTTTTTTCTCTTTTGGATCCATCCGTTGCTCCTCGTTTTACGTTTCTTTCTTGCTCTCTTACCGTCTATTTATTTTGACCCCTTTTCTTTTCACTCGCTTTTCTTATCGTTTTTCTCTAGCTTCTTACTCACCGTTCACCGTTCCTCTCCATCTATTGCTTTTTTCTCTCCATCTCCCCCGCTTTGCTTTTTGTTTTTCTCTAGCATTCTTACTTACCCTCTACATTTTTTTGCTTTCGTACCTTCTTTTCCTCGTCTCAGCTGATTTTTCAAAATTCTCATGCATGGAAGTGAACCGTCAGATGAAACGTTGATGGCTATAAATATATTCGCGTTCGTGCGTCTCTCTATTTCTCAATCTTTCTCTTTGTATAACACTCTTCACAGTGAACACAAATATATCTTTTGACGGTTACAATCCTTGTTAACTTTATTGCGCAAAGCGTTTTGCTCCCCTCTATTCTACCATATTTACATGCAACTTCAGAATTTCATCTTCGTAGAAACTTTTATGAACTTATTTTTCATAATTCTGCAAAGACGAGATGGAATAGTTATCTATAGGTGCAATATCTGATCAGTATGGTAGACGAGGAAAAATTACCCGGTTAATGTGCCAGAATATTTGTCTGGTCATCAAAGAAACATGTGGGCTAGTGTTATAGTGATGGAATATTACACAGTTTCCGTCAGTTGCTGCCTTCAATTGGTCTTAATCAAAAATCTAAAATTTATATTATTAATGAGACAGTCTACAGCAACAAAGGATATATATATATATATATATATATATATATATATATATATATATATATATATATATATATATATATATATATATATATATATATATATATATATATATATATATATATATATATATATATATATATACCTGCTGATCATACAAACGCCAAATAGTGCTTTTGAACAAATAACTTTCTCGAGAGGTCATGGCACGTCAGATCTAATGACGGTTTTCCCTAGGAGATGCAGGTTCGAATCCTCCCGGAGGGCGCATATTTTTCTAACAAGATTTCTCGAATATGCTTGGCGGTAGATGTAAATAAATAAATATACTGTTTAATAATAAAAACACAGCACCCACTCAAATATAAGCATCCATTAAAAATAACATTTAAACAAATAGATTAAATAAATATGTAT